GCCTGCTGAAGAATCAGCGGTACCCAATAATCGCCGCTTTCAGCGTGCCCAGTGGGACCGTCCCAAGACTCCTGGAAGGGCTCAGCTTCTGGCGCCTCGTCCCCCCGGCTTGGGCTGAGGAGCGAGCCTGGCTCGCCCTCGTGTGAATGTCCTTGATCCATCATGAGGGGCACGTATTCCTCTGGCGCCGCCACCCCGAAGGCCACGCCGTAGTGCTCTGCGCGCCACGCGGTCCTGCCTAATGCGCCTATCGTGGGGTGGCAGCGCGGCTATCCACTGGGGCCGCGGGTCGCGTCGAGCCCTTCTTCTTCGCGGACCAGGAGCGGGGGCTGCGCCGCCGCCGGTCCGGTGCCGACAGCCTCGCTGGTGTTGGTGTAGCCTTGGAGCCCGCAGGTGCGCGAGGGGCCCCCGCGCGGGCCGCCCTGGGTTGGAGATGGGAGCTGGGTGTAGAAGGGGTGAGCCCCCGAGGCAGCGAAGCCCAGGAGCTCTGCCACCCGCTCCAGCAGCACGTCGCGGCCGCCCTCCAGCAGTCTGCACTGCAACAGCTCTCGAGCCACCGTGAGCGCGGCCCTCGAGTTCGCTTGCTCCCGGCGGGTGTACGGTGTCGTGGTCGCGGCGTGATTGGAGGCCCTTGCTGCCGACCGCGTCTGCCGCAGTGTGAGAGTTGTCGAAGCCTGTCCGCGTCGCCCGCGGCCCGCAGCACCCTGCGGACCGCGAGCTGCCTGGGGCACGGGGTCACTTGAGGTGAGCGGCTCTGCGCGGGCGGGCCATGCCGCCCATGGGTCTGGGTTGCCCTCCTGGTCGCCGGGCATGGTGATGACGATGCGACGGGGCACGGAGTGGTGGAAGACGAATTCCGGCGCACCCCTACCTGGCGCGCCAAATGTCAGATTTCGGGTTCCGGAAACCCTTGAGGTTCGAACACTGGGGTGCGCGTGGAGATTTCGCCTCCTACCTACCTGCACCCCTCCGCCATGCTTGGATCTAAACTAAGAAAAGGACAACACAAGAGACACAGGGTTTATACTGGTTCGGGCCACCGTTGTGGTGTAATACCCTACTCCAGTGTGTGGTGTGTGGATTGCCTCTTGGGCTGATGATGATGAACAATACAAGGAAGAACAACCTCGCGAGGGTCTGTTCTTGGCTGGGGGCGATGAACTGCTCGGAGGAGTTCAGTCACCTTTCTCTCTCTCTCTCTCTCTCTGCTCTCCTCTGACCGACCCTTCTAACGAGCCTCTTCCTTCCTCCTCTTGGTCGTCCTCTCCGTCCCCCTCTATGTGGGTGGCTGGTCCTATTTATAGAGGCCCTGGTCCTCTCCCCAAATATTGAGCGGGAAGGGAGCCAACAATGGCGGGCTAATTTGAAGGGGGACAGCAAGTATCAGCTATCCTGACAAAAGTAGTCTTCGCCTGCGCAAAGCTCTGGTGATGACGCCATCTTGGGCTCCACGGTGACCTCCGTCTCGTAGTCCTCCTGGTCTTGGTCTCGTTGCACCGAAACAGCAACCTTTGCCTGATGCCTCGGTACTCCGCGGCTGCGCTTGCCCCCTTTGCACCAAAGAGGAAAGGAGGACGCTGCGCGGGCTGGCACCCACCTGGCGCCCTGAGTTGTCATGGCTTGCGTCATGGGCACCTCGTGAGGTACCCCGCCTTGATCTCTCCGCCTCCTCGTGAGCCAGCCTGACGAGGCCGTGCCTGAGGAAGCTCCGCGTCGTTCGCCCCGCGAGGCTTGGCCCCTCGCGAGGGTGTTGGGTTTTGTGTTGATGAAGATGGGCCGTGCTGGGCCCCCCTTTGAGCCATGCCGCAGGCCGCAGGCAGGCAAGTCTGGGGACCCCCGTCCCAGAACACCGACAAGCGCTATGTCTCTACCGATTTCTCTCTTCCCATACGATTTTTGCAATGTGACAATGGCCGGGAGTTTGATAACTCTCGCAATCGCTCTTTCTTCCTTACTCATGGCATTCTTCTCTAGTTCTCCTGCCCCTACACCTCTCCCCAGAACGGCAAGGCCAAGCGCTCTCTTCGTACAATCAACGACATCCTCCGCACTCTTCTTATTCAGTCTTCCATGCCATCCTCGTATTGGGTCGAGGCGTTGCGCCACGCTACTTTTCTTCTGAAAATCCATCCCTCCAAGATGATCCCTCATTTCTCTCCCTACGAATCCCTCTTCCTAGCCCCTCCTGCCTATCACGATCTCAAAACTTTTGGATGTCTATGTTTCTGAAACATATGGCCGCCACCTCTTCTAACAAGCTCTCCCCGCGGTCTTTTCCCTGCGTTTTTCTCGGGTACTCTAATTCTCACAAAGGCTATCATTGCCTTCACCTCCCCACCAGCCGCATTATCCTTTCGCGCCACGTCACTTTCGATGAAACACAATTTCCTTTCGCTCACCGCACCGAGCCTAATCAGTTCGCCCCCATTTCCGGTACTCACGTACCCGCTCAGCGCGTTCCTGCGATCGACGTGCATGGGATGCATGGCCCTGTTCACCTGGGCCCCGCTCCTCCACTACCCATCGCTCCCACCAATCCCGCCCCACCTCTGCATGTCTCCCCACCAGCCCCCACCTCCCGTTCCGCACCAGCCAACCACGCTGCTCCAGATTCCTCGGATCAAACGCCCACCGGCCCCATTGCTCCTGGTCCCGCCCCAGACACACGGGCCGCTCCGGATCTCTCGGATCGCCCGCCCACCAACCAAGCTGCTCCTGGCCCCACCGCAAGCATCCATGCAGATTCGCCCAGGCCCGCCACTACTCCTCTACGCTCGTATTCTGATGATTCGCATGCATCTCCCATGCAACCTCTTTCTCCTTCTCTCTCGCCATCTTCGCCTTCTGCTACTACTCCGCCCACACCACCTCCTCCCTTACAGCCACTACCCCACACTGCCGTCCCCGTCCCGATCCCTCAAAATGCACACAACATGCGCACGCGCGGCAAGGCTGGTTTTCATCTTCCCACCGATCGACTGAACCTTACCGCCATTTCTGAGCCCATTTCTCCTATCCCACGTTCCTACAAGGCTGCCCTTCTCGATCCGCACTGGTTCCATGCCATGAAAGACGAGTATGACGCTCTCCTCCTCAACAACACCTGGTCTCTCGTTCCATGTCCTCCCGGCGCCAATGTTGTATCTGGCAAGTGGGTTTTTCGCCATAAGTTCAACTCCGACGGCACCCTTTCTCGCTACAAGGCTCGTTGGGTCTGCCGTGGCGATTCTCAGCAGCCTGGAATAGACTATGATGAGACGTTCTCTCCTGTCGTCAAACCTAGTACCATCCGCGTGGTCTTGAGCTTAGCGGTCTCGTCTTCGTGGCCCATCCACCAGTTAGATGTGAAAAACGCCTTCCTCCATGGTTCTCTCTCCGAAACTGTCTACTGCCATCAACCTCTTGGCTTTGCTCATCCCACTCTTCCCGATCATGTGTGCCACCTTTAGAAGTCTCTCTATGGCCTCAAACAAGTGCCCCGAGCCTGGTTTCAGTGTTTTGCTTCCTTTATCCAACGTCTCGGCTTCTCTCCTTCTCGCTCAGATTCCTCTTTATTCATCTTTCACTCATCAGAGCACGTTGCCTACCTTCTCCTTTACGTCGACGATATTGTTCTCACTGCCTCTTCTTACTCTTTTCTGACCCACATAATCTCTTCCTTATGTACATAATTCTGCATGACTGATCTTGGTCACCTCCACCACTTCCTTGGCGTTGCCGTCTCTCGCTCCTCCTCGGGTCTCTTTCTATCTCAGCGCCAGTACATTCTTGATCTCCTTTCCAAGGCCGGCATGACAGACTGTCACTCCTGCAGAACACCTGCTGAAACGGGACTCTCATCTGATGGCGAGCAGCTCTCACTCTCGGATGCCACACTCTTCCACAGCCTCACCGGCGCACTCCAATACCTTACCCTCACTCGCCCGGAAATCACCTATGCCGTCCAGCAAGCCTGCTTGTATATGCACGACCCTCGTCTCCCGCACATGAGTCATGTCAAATGTGTTCTACGCTACCTCAAAGGAACCCTCGACCACGGTCTTTGTATCACTGTTTCTTCTCCAACTACTCTCACACCGTACTCTGATGCAGACTGGGCAGAATGTCCGGACACTCGTCGATCCACTTCGGGATACTGTGTGTACTTGGGTGATAACTTGATTTCATGGTCGTCGAAACGGCAGCTCACTGTTTCCTGGTCGTCTGCGGAGGCTGAGTACCGCTCGGTGGCTCATACTGTCGCCGAAACTGTGTGGCTCCGTCAGCTTCTTCACGAGCTTCACCGCCCTCTTCATCGCGCGACAATTGTCTATTGTGACAACATATCTGCTGTGTACTTATCATGTAATCCTGTACAGCATCGTCGCACTAAGCATATAGAGATAGACATCCACTTTGTTAGGCAGAAAGTAGCATTAGGTGAGGTTCGCGTTCTTCATGTTCCCACCAGCGCTCAATTCGCCGACATCTTCACCAAAGGCTTGCTGGCGACACCCTTCATCGACATTCGCTCCAGCCTCAACGTCGCCGAGCCCGCCGTTGACACTGCGGGGGGTGTTAGACAGAGGACTCGGTCAGAATTGGTTTACTCACGAATACATGCACGATCCACCCATGATCTAGGTGCAAGTCATGCGGCACCTCTATATGTACTCCCTCTTGTGTTCTGTACCTCATTTGAGAAAGAAACACTATCAGTTTTACACATCCTAAATATGACCCAAAATTAGACAGGACTAGTAAACCAGCATTGATAAAATTAGAAGCCGAGATCAGCTCTACTCATACTATTGCAGATCAAGGAAATGAATGGGTTACTTTCTTGTGACAATTCATCCGGTGAACTAGAATCCAAATAGTCGAAACGACGATAAACGACTGATCATTACAGGAATGGAAACAGAATTGGTGCATGACTCATGCTACTTGTTGTATTTATATTGGATCTATGCAAGTTGGACGGCGTACGGAGTGGCTACTAGCTAATTTTTTGAGATTGTCTAGCCGAGGATGCAGGCCTTGAATGCGTCCATGTGCGCCGGGTCAATGGACACGGAGGCTTGCACCTCGCCGTCGCGCCGGCCACCGACCAGCACCATCTCACCGTCGTGGTTCATGGAGACCAGCTCCACGCGCGCGGGCTTCCCAAACCCGAAGTCGGCCGCCTCGTAGGCCCGGAACCGAGGGCTCGCCGCCACGTTGGTCATCCGCTGAAACGGCAGCCGCATCAGCATCTGCATCCACCCCTTGTCCGTCCCGGACAACGGCGCCGCCTCCATCTCCGCCACAGCCGCCTGCACGGCCCGCGCCGCGCGGAGGATGCCGGACTGGCCGAGGAGGTCCGCCGCGTCGGCGCAGCTGGCCAAGCACGCGCGCACGCAGTTGCCCAGGTAAGCCTCACTGACAGGCGGGTCGAGGCGGGAGCGCAGGTCGGCGAGGAACATGAGGTACGTGTCGTCCCCTGCGCCGAGCCCCTTGGAACGAACGAACGCCGTCCAGCTCAGTGCCGCCAGCGCCACGAACGTCGACACCGGTTTCGGCTTGGGCGCGTCGCCACCGGCAGCAGACTCGGCCGAGGCGAGGTCGTCGATCCGCCGCCTGAGCGACCGGATGTCGTCGGCCCCGAGATAGAACGTCCGGCGCGCCCGCAGGAACCGCTGGCTGAAGTCGTACTGCCCCCTCACCTGCGAGTGGTAAATCAAATACGGGTAAATCACAAGGCGCGATGGTGACGAATTCACGATGAATAAGCTCATTCATGGCAGGCATTGCTTCCTTGCCCACGACTATGCACGGCCATGGAACTGAAAATTGTTCCGTGTGTCATCTATCTTGGAGGTGGCAGGCATACGGTTAGCATGGTGCAACCGACGAACCAACTACAGTTTAGTTGACGTAGCAAGCAAAAGTTGACAAAGCTACCAACGTACACGGAGCTACAAGTACTCCTACATAGATTCACGAACGTGGAAAAAAGGAAAAAAAAAGATGAATTTACCACAGGGAGATTGGGCGCGACGGTCTTTAGCATGTCGCGGGCGAGCTCGTCGCCGTTGGGGTGCTGGATGACCTCCCGGGCGTAGTGCGGCGGGCCGAGGACCTTGGTGACCGGGGAGCCCTCGCGGGAAGCGGAGGACCAGGCTTCCATGAATCGCCAAACGGCGCGTCCGTCCGCGACTACGTGGTGCACGGACAGGCCCACCGCCAGGCCGCCGCTTAGACGAGTGGCCTGCACTGACAGCACGGGCGCCGGGAGCACCCGGGCATCCAGCTCCGGCACCAGGCTCAGGAATGCCACGATGTCGTGCGCCTCGTCGCCGGCTAGACGCCGCACGTCCATATCGCCCTCGGCCTCCACGAAGGCGTCCCCGGTCTCCACCGCGTACTTGAGCATCCCCGCCAGGGGCAGGTAGTGCGCCAGGGTGTCCGCGAGAGCGCGCTTGAGCCGCTCCACCACCGCCGGGAAGCCGTCCGCTGGATCGGCGGCAGCACGACCCACGGCGAATCGAAGAAGGAAAGTTTCACGTGCTCCCCGCGCTGCACCGACGGCGCCACCCGGGAGACTGCGACAGCCCGCACGGCCGCAGCCTTGGCGGCGGCGTCGGAGCTTGCCTCGCCCATCCCGACGGGTACTTATCGGTCGTTCGCCGGAGAGCTAGGGTGGTGTGAGATGACCGATGGATGGGCGCTTATGGGGTTCCACTTCCAACTGCGTCCAGCTTAAATCGCGGCAGCGGTGGTGGACGTCTTCTTGCGCAGGAAGGAAGGAAGATGGAAGCTGCTGGGCCTACGATCAGAACAAAACTAATAATACGGTCCGATATATATGTATGCTGCCTTGATGGATGTACGTCTCGCTGCGCAGAAAGAAGCGCGCACGCACGATACCAGAGCAGAACTGAAGTGAGATGCTCTTCTGGTTTCTGGTGTACGTACACACTCTCCTTTTTATACCTGGAGACATCCTGACATAACCACTCATTCAGCTCTGCTCATTGGTTATTTACTTTGGAAGCTACCAGCTGGTTCATCGCCGGAGAGTAGTACAAGGTTTGCTCCAAAGGGACAACCTTTTTTTTATTCATTTTCATTTTGGAGGATAAAAACGACAGCTAGCGTGGCTGAACCCTGCCCTGCGGCGGACAAATGTGTGTGTGTGCGCCTATGCATGCTTCTCGAAAAGACCCCAACAACGCCGGAGATGGGTTACTGATACGGTGCTTCCGTCAGGGATCACAGTCATGCAGACCCGACAGAGAATAGTCCAACATTTCGCCTCATGTAATGTTTTCGATAGACTAGGTGATTGCTTGTGCGTTGCAACGGGTCATATAAATTCTAATGATATGTATAACATATATTTTTATAGGACATAAATACTATATACATTTTCTAACTGACAAATTACTGTTGTTGTTACCCCGCAAAAAAAGTCATTGTTGTTGTTCTTCTTCGCTTCATGAGTTGGCCATCATTTTTGCTGTCGGTGCTGCCAGTGATGACATCGCCATAATATCAATTAAACTCAACATGCTATATAATAAAATGGTTTTAGAAATAGATTGAGCAGTTCTTTTACAAGAAGTACCAAAAACCCATTTGTGTCTATCTAATACAAGACCGTGTGGACCTTTTATATAGAGCGCACATTCTATGTACTAAATTAACTTAGAATAGCCTGAAACTCATGATTAAGAAAGAGAAAAATTTACTTCCTTAGCTAACAAAACATGGATTCCCTGCCTTTGAAGAAACAAACAAATCGAGCAAGCTAAGACCAAGACTCACGTTCATCACACACAAAAAAGGAGTTAGACTCGTATACAAAGAATAAATTGATGTGTTTTCACCCGTCGTGGACTTACCGTAGTACTGCCACACCTCATGCCTTGCCAGCTAGTAGCTGCATCCATAACAAAAATAGAAAGTTGTGTATTGTGCGCAAGACGGCTTGCTGCAACAAATGCGCGGGTGCTTGTAGATGGTGTGCATGCACGGTGGTAGGCAAGTGATGCTGGAAATAATCTGACATTTCCTATCAAGTAGAATCAATTAGCTCTTTTTCAAGGATACGTCAGGAATGACGTATCAAGATCATAGATAGAAAATGCCCAGACAGCGAAGATTTTTACAACTCAACCACTGCTAAGGAGCCACCCCACGAATCCTATAGGTTCTACTCGCCACTAGCCAACCTATCCACCCTTATCGGTAAGGAGTTATCTTTCCTCAATAGAGCCGCTATCCACCAGTTTTGTCCCTTTGTGTCAATATTTTTCAGCATCACGTCCGCCGACGGTGCCGCACCATTGAAAACAATGTCGTTCCTACGCCTCCAGAGTGTCCATGCTACCACAGCGATGACTGTCCATATTTCTTTTCTCATGTCCCTTTATGGGTCCAGAGATGTCCATCAGTCCACCAGGTTACTATCGTGTTGTGGCATGCAAGCCGTCTCTCATGTCCACCAGTCCACCAGGTTTCTTTTCTCATGTCACTTTGTGGAATCAATTAGCCCCTGTTTCGAAGTTAAGCATGAAGTTTTGGAAATAAAAGAAATTACCCGTACATGATATGTTCTCCTAGCTAATCCTTCGGTGGAGAGATTAGAAAAACGAAAACGCAAGCTGGAACCTGGTCCAACGAGAGCAAGTTGATTTGCTGGCCCGCATGATGGGAATTGCAAGGGCGTACATGATCTCTTATTCTATTGGCATCCCCAAAGAAGGATGTCATGCATATTGATTTTTGCGTAGCACCTCCTACTCTTTTGCTTGAATCATCCATGCATTGGAAGAGAGAGGGCACCACCTGCGATTTTTTGGATCATGTTGTTTTTCTTGGAGAGAGGGTCAGCTGGGAGAGAGAGGTTCCATAGGTTGAGAGAGGAAGAGATGCTAGAAAATCGGGAGACAGATAATTTCGCTGGAGAGAGATATTTACGCGTGACGTGAGACAGATTGCGGGAGTACTGTCAGGGAAAGAGATATTTTCCATAACTATTGACTGTGACTTATTTTCCAACGAATGATTGGGAGGTCGGCTATGTGAGGTAGATTGGCCCTTGATTATAGGAGATTGATCAGAATTTATTGGGTTACCAAAGAATATTTATTGGGTTATCAAAGATTGATCAAAAGACTACTGTGATATGGCCAGTAAAATAGAAATCATGTGAACTAGAAATTGGGGATTGGGTGGAAAACCAGTGGAGGGGTGGGGAGGGATGAACGAAGGGGTTGGACGAAAAATTGACGTAAGACGGGAGAGGAAACATTATGTTTCTTTTAGGTACTAGAGATTTTATCCTCCAGTAGGAAGGGTCTAAGGGGAAGGCCACCTCTGCGCCTCCACCCCACTAAGCAGCATATGGTGGTGTGTGGGGCTAGTGTCGGACTCCCCTCTGGGGAAGACATGGCTGCTGATGCCCCCATTAATAGGGGGCGCCACAGCCGCCCGATAAAGCAGCTACCATGTCCAGTAAATGACGGTTGGGCTAGTTTGGCCTCACCAGAGGGGCCTATTAGTACAACTGCGGATCCCGTGTGAAGCTCCTATATTGAAACATTAGGCGCTTTGACAACTTGGGCCGGAGGCGCTAGTTGATCGACTACATCCGGTAGGACTTTTCAATCCAGGAACTTCAAGGGCTGTTTTGACACCCGTTCGCGTGGCACTGGCTACTTGCGGCCGACCTCTCTGGGAATCCTGCTGGGGGTCAGGGTGGACTTCTTCTCGGTTGAGGCTATGGACCGAGGGGGGATTCTTTCCTAGTATGCCCATCACTGACCGACGTGTGGACCTCAGTTGGGAGGTGATCATCGTCTATGGCCCGGTTGACCATGGGCGGTCAACGGACTTCTTGGCCGAGCTAATGTCTAAGGTGGAGCGATGCACTACTCCGGTTGTAGTGGCCCATGATTTCAACCTTATTCAACAAGAGGCTGACAAAAGCTCCCCTAGTGTCGACTGGGTGCGTATGTGCCTGTTCAACAACTACATCACTGATATGGCTCTACCTGAGATAGCCCGTGTAGGGCTAGATTCACGTGGACTAGTAAACAGGTGGACCCTACCCGGAGCATGCTGGATAGGGTCTTGGTGTCTACCTAGCGGAAGATTATGTTCCCAATGTGATCGCCTAGGGTGGTCACTCGGATTGTCTCCGACCACGTCCCCCTGTTGTTTTCGTCCAGGGAAGGGTCTCCACCATGGTCGAGGCGCTTCCACTTTGAACCATCATGGCTGCTACAACCGGGTTTTTTTGAGATGGTATGACGCCGATGGGTATAAGCTTTGGCCAATCCGCCATGGACCTTCTCTGCTATGGATATCTGGCACCATTGCTCTAAAATCACGCACCGGCCAGTTTATGAGGGGTGGGGCGCCTGATACGTCTCCAACTTATCTATAATTTTTTATTGTTTTATGTTATTATATTACTAATCTTAGATTATTTTTATGCACTTTATATCATTTTTGGGAACTAACCTATTAACCTATTGCCTAGTGCCTGTTGTTGTTTTCTGCTTGTTTTTGGTTTTCCAAAAAATCTGTACCAAACAAGGTCCAGCTGCTACGAAACTTTTGATGATTTTTTCTAGACATAAGAGACCCTTGAAGCTTTGGGAGGAGACTAGATGCGAAACGGGGAGATGACAGGGCAACAGGGTGCGCCTTAGGGGGTAGGAATGCCTTGATGCCTTGTGGGCTCCATGTGGCTCTGTCTGACCTAATTCCACTTCTATAAATTCTC